GGTTTGTCGAACCCAGGTCCAGGCGACGAACCCAGGCGAACCTAGCGCCCGGGTGGGTTCGAAGGAACCTAGGCCTGCTGGGTTCCGAGGGGAAGGAGGAAGAGAAAGGGAAAGGAGAAAGAGAAAGGGAAAGGAGAAAGAGAAAGGGAAAGGGAAAGGAGAAAGAAAAAGAAAAAAAGAAAAAAAAAATTTAAGTTTTATTTTTCATAATATTTTTTTATATTATTTTTTTTCCACATCATCACTTTTTATATTACTATATGATATGTCATCTGGTAACCGTTAAGTAACAGGCCACGTCACACAATTTTTAACGGAAGGATCAAATCGGGGTAAAAATGGTAAACAGTAGGGACCAAATCAAGGATTTTTTTAGTTCATGGACCAAATCGGGGGTCCATACAATAGGTCAGAGACCAAAAAAGGGTTTTAACCAAAAAAAATTCTATTTTCATTAGTTATTTTTTAAAATTCATCTAAATATACATATTTTTAGTTCTTAAATTTCAAGTTGAAAAATGAAAAATATATATTATAAATTAAAAAATTATATATATATATTTAGGAAGGACTTTAATTAAAAGAAAAAGTATTATATAATTTTGAAACGACATGAATGGCACAAATTTAATTTAGGTCCTTTTTAATGTTAAATGTCCATTTTGATTCTTCAATTTTAAAATTTTATTAAATTCTTATTTTTTAATTTCTTATATATATTTTTTATTCTTTAATTATAAAAATATTTTTTACTTAAAAATTTAAAGATTAAACAAATATTAAACAAATTTAATAAATTAATTAAAAATTTAAAAAATATATTTTTTATGATTAATGGATAAAAACTATGAATAAAAAAAAACTATACAAAACTTTAAAATTAAAAAAACAAAGTTAACATTCAAATTCAACCCTTATTCTTCTTCTTCTTCTTATTATTATTATTATTATTATTATTATTATTATGAAAATTCCCGTTTTATACTCGGTCGTTAGAGTCCGGCGCAGTCTGACCGCCAAACAGAGATCTCTTATAATAAAATTCCACTGCCAACATTCTTCTGTGTTTTG